TCTTTCAGCATGGGGTAGCAAATCAGCAACAGCAGATGACAATCCCTAAGCAATACAACAGCAGCATAGAATGTTAGTGAGATGACAATCCAGAAGTAAGAATAATAATGGTAAGAAACAAACAACATAATAAATGGATTACAGTACCTTTTGCATGTCAGACATACTATTAAATCTTCACCATTCCTCAACTCTAAATCAGTTTTGAGATAGTTGATGAACCAACTCCATGAATGTGTAGTCTCTTGATCTACCAAAGCCCAAGCAATGGGATACATCTGATTGTTTCCATTTTTTCCAACAGCCACTAACAATTCACCTTTGCAGGCTCCCTTTAGGAAACAACCATCAAAACCTATTATTCTTCTACAACCTGACATCCATCCCTTCTTCATAGCCTCAAAGCATACATAAAAGTATTTAAATAGATGTTTTCCAGGAACTATTTCTGTATCAGTTCTCACCCAACATGAACTTCCAGGATTGGTGGACTTAATCATGTCAGCATAGTCCAGCAACCTAGAAAATTCAAGGTTCCAGTCACCCATAAACTGGCTAATTACCTTCATCTTGGCTCTATATACAAGTGATCTTCCTACATACAAACCCCATTTAACCCTTATAACCTCTTGCAACTCATGAACTGTGATGTTTGGACTTGAGATGATTCTATCTTGGAGCTTTCTTGCAATGTACTTGGTTGTGCAAAGTTTGTTCTTGTTCTTTGTTGGGCATTTATGGACAGGTATATAGGTCTTCATAGTAAAGTTCCCTGAATCCCTGTCCTTACTAGCATATATTTGCCACTTACACTTTTCATGTCTACACTTAGCTCTTACTCTATCTTTCTCATTAGGTCTAAGCTTTATAGACACTTTATATTGAATAGCATAATCAGCAATAGCTTTCCTAAATTCTGTTGCATAATCAAAGATCACGCCCAACTCAAACAGAGGAATTTTAGCATCAAAGTCATACCTGATCTTTTGACTTCTTCTTCTAGGAGGAATATCAACACCATGTTCAGCAAGTGGGTCTAACTCTTCATCACTGTCTACACTCCCAACATCTGAGCTGTCCACATACCTCTTCTGTAAAAACAGGTTTTTTCCTCTGTTTTCTATTACTTTGTGATCCAGCATCATTCACCTTGCTCTTCAACTTGTTTCTCTTTACTTCCCTAGCAGCATCCCTCACAGATCTTAACTCATCATCTATCTCACTGTCATCTTCTTCTGGAATGTCTTCAAGGTCATCTTCACCAAAATCTGCATCTTCATCTTCAAGATTTGTCTCCTTAAATGGTTGTCATGCTCTGCAGCTGCACTCTCTTCAACATTTATATCCTCTTCTAAAATTGTAGACCTAGGTTGTTCTACATTTACATCACTGCCCTCAGCAGTATTTACTTCAATATCCTCATCAGCATTTACTCCAATACCCTCCTCACAATTTACTCCAATACCCTCATTACAATTTACACCAATACCCTCATCAACATTTACACCAGCCCCCTCACCATTACAATTTACACCAATACCCTCATCAACATTTACACCAGCCCCCTCACCAACATCTACACTAACCCCTGGACCACCCCTAATTTCTCTAGCCTGGTCACTATCACCAACTTGTGAGGAAGGTAAATATCCCACAACTACATCCTCATCCACAACCTCTAAATTATCTATTGCATGACTCACATAGACATCAAAGCGATCCCCATCCTTCGGGTCTTTAATCAAATTTAGTAGTTGGTAGTCATTTTCAATTGGAAAGAACTTCTGAGTTTTAGGACATAGAACAAATAACCCACAAACAGAGTTGTAGCGCATTTCAGGGGACACAAGCTCGGGCAAAGAGAAATGGTCTTTTTCCACCACATGCCCGATTACTTCACCCTCCCTCACATACTTTTCATCAATAAAGTATCCCCCATGATGAAAAACAACACCAATATATTCGTCCATGTGACTTTATACTGAAAATGACAAAACACAACCAGTCAATATTCCCCGACATTTTCTGATTTTCAAAACAAAAAAAATCCTAATCTCATAGCACCATAACAAAACCAGTTGTGATAAAATAGAAAAAAGCAATAATAAAATATAAACATACCTTTATGCAATAATCGAAGCCTTTACAGCTGACTCCCCTTTTCACAAAAGATCCACTGCCAAAACCCTAAAATGGCCTTCCTTCAGGTGATAAATCTTGAACCAACTTAAAATTCGAACAAAAAACAACTAATCATACTTAGTAAGTGAAAGAAATCTTTAATTTTGCAACAAAAATGCCGATTGAACCAAGCTTAATCGAAGAGATGAAGGGTTAGTCGGTGAGAGAGAGAGAGAGGGACTAGACGGAAGAAACGATGAAGATTTAACGTTATGTTTTATGTTTTATGTTTCTAATTCTTTATTTCTTATTGTTTTTCCACGTGTCAGCTTCTAATTCGTTCTTATAAAAGACACCAGTAAGTGTAATACACGCGACGGGGGCTGTGAGGTCGGGTGTTTATAGAGTTCAGTTTTTAAAATGTGATATGTTTAAGTGAAACATGGCTCAGTTGAGGTGTTCAACTGACCGTTGTGGACAACTTAAAGGGGCTATTTATGTATTTCGCCATTATTTTATTTAATGCATCCAACCAAACGACCCCTTAGTATTTTAAAAGAAAAAAATTACGTAGTATAAAAGAAAAGGACAGATTAATGTAAAGCACAGAATATTACTGCAAATTTGGGGTAAAAAAGTCCTACGACAAAGACTGGCACAAACAAGCTGTCGTCTCAAGTCTCCTACTGTTTATCTTTATTCACTTTTTTTAGCTACCCGCAACGTGCTCTTATCCTTAACCACAATATTCTCCCAAACCTATGGATGTGTCACTTTCATCCAAATTTCTTTTCACCCTTTTCCATCGCCAGGAAAATTCCATCTTCTTGGAAAAGTTTCGAATAATTTACTTTAGTCATTAACCTTCATTAATTTCAAACGCAATGAAGTTGTCGGTAAAACTATAATAAGTTGAATTAATAATATAAAAATAAAATAGATTACCTGTTACAATAGACTAATATACCAATGGAAAATGTACATTTTATTATACTGAGAGCTAGAGTATATAAATTAAACCTCAAACTCTTAAAATTAAAATGGATGTAAATATTTAGTTAGATACATAGTGAAGAATTCATTTAAATGGAGCCAACTTTGCTCATGTTTTTGTTCCTGCAAAGAAAAGATCGATCATTAGCAGCAGTTTCAACTTATATACTCCCTCTATTCCAGTTTAGGTGAACCTATTTCCTTTTTGGTCCGTTCCAAAAATAATGACCACTTTCTAAATTTGATAACAATTTAGCTTAAACATATAATTCTACCCTTAATGAGAAGCTTTTATAACCACACAAATACTCTGGCCCCTTTTTGACTTGTTTAGTATCACAAATTCCAAAAGTATTCATTTTTTCTTAAACTCCGTGCCCAGTCAAACAGGTTCACATAAATTGGAACGGAGATCAAAGTTCCGATAAAAATACTTGTATGCATCAAAAACTCCAGGTTCCTCGGGGTAAATGCATTAAAAAGGGACAAATTTTAGCAGATGGTGCTGCTACGGTTGGTGGTGAACTTGCTTTGGGGAAAAATGTATTAGTAGCTTATATGCCGTGGGAGGGTTACAATTCAGAAGATGCAGTACTTATTAGCGAGCGTTTGGTATATTAAGATATTTATACTTCTTTTCACATACGGAAATATGAAATTCAGATTCATGTGACAAGCCAAGGCCCTGAAAAAATAACTAATTAAATACCGTATTTAGAAGCCCATTTACTCCGCTATTTAAATAAAAATGGAATTGTGATGCTGGGATCTTGGGTTAAAAAATTGTTAGCTTGGACTAACTGCATATGTTGTGATAAGATCTTGCTTACCAAGAACTTAATGTGCTACTGCATGTGTGTTGAAATGTTATCAGTCACAAACCTTCTTAATCCTGATGAGTTTATGAGCACATGCATCCCACAGAGAAATTAACCCAGATCAATACCAAGGAGCAATTTCATACTTGAAAATTAGAGCTTTCTTTTGGTTAGATAATAGATACTTTTATATTAATAACTAATACATCAAAGGGTACAAGGTCATGAACCGCAGACCAGAATATTATTCTTTAACATTACTTCCATTAATTCCTTCATTGTTGGTACTATCCGATATACTTGGCCAAAAGGTCTGTTACCTTGTTAGAGCTGACTCTATCATTATATAGTTGTCATTTAAGAGCAAGCTGCAAAAATCAATTTATTTTGAGAAGTGGTTTTTTTCATAAGTATTTTTCTCAAAAGTACTTTAGGTAAGAAGCAATTGTGTTTGGCTAATTAATTCGAAAAGCACTTCTGAACATCAATTAGTATTTAGCCAAGCTTTTAAAAACTACTTCTGTATTTTTCTTCTTCTTCTCTAAAACCGTATTTGCTTCTCCCAAAAGTTTTTTTTTTTTCCAAAACCTTGGCCAAATACTTCAACTTTGAATATTTTTTTCTAGAATTGGAGAAGCTTGACCAAACAGTCTATTATGCCCGGTAAAGTATACCCTCCATATATCAAGAGCAATTTCAACAAGATTTACTGGGTCTATTTTTTTTATTTTTTACTGGCCCAGTAAAATTAGAGATCTGGACGGGAAATTTTATACATAAGAACAAAAGGAGAGAGGAACATGGACCAAAACCTCCCAGTCCTATTGAAGGGGGAACATCCTCACCCTTTTTATATATATGAAGATCTCAAAAGTGATATAGTGGTCTTCACTCAGCCTTATTGGCTCCTTTTTATGTAAGGATTCAACTTGGCTGAAAGCTCAAGCTCAAGGATGTAACATTATATTAATGCAGATATTCTGGTGAAAGCCATTAATGAGAACAGGAATTAAAATTTCAAGAAGAAACTGAAGGTACAAGGATTTTTCTAGCAAAGGAAGTGAATCAAAGGCAAAAACATGTTTTTGATAACACACAAGTTGCTAACAGACAAGAAGTTTGATCATTATTGGATACAAATTCTTGAACTATATATTACATTCAGATCGAAGAAAGCAAGCTACTCAATCACAATCATAGGGTGTAGTGGAATAGTTAAAAGCCGTCCATTCATAACTAGTGGCATCAGATTCAAGTTATGAAAATGAAAACCTTTTGGTAGGGAGTACTTTAAATGGGAATACGGTCAAACCTCTCTATAACAACCTCGTTTGTTCCGAAAATTTTTGGCTGCTATAGTGAAGTGTTGTTATGGAGGACATATATCATAACATAATATAATATTCGATTCCGAGAAAAACTTGGCTTTTATAATGAATAGCTACTATATAGAGATGTTGTTATAGAAAGGTCTGACTGTACTTGGCATGAGTAAATATGAACTAATCAATCGAGCCAGTGTATTTCGGATATTAAATGTCTAAAAAGAAGCAAGCAACTCAATGAGAAGGAAACATTAGTTGCCAACTTGCCATTAAGCTACCTAGCACCCTCCCACAAACTTCTTTAACCTCTCTGAGATTCTTGCAGCTCCGTATTGATCTGGTTCACACTCTCCCATCTACAATGAAGCAATGAAACACATCTCTGTCATATATTTGCTCACACAAATAAATAACCACACCCCTTCAATTCGTTGAGAAATAAATAGATAGAGGAAAGAAACAAATGGAAAACCTTAGAATGAATGGAATGGACGATGGTGTCACCAATGAGAGTATAACTGGCATTTATAACGTGTACGCCTTCTTCATGAAGCAGACGGATAACATCAGTGAAGATGAACTGATAATCCAAACCAGTAGTTAGAACCACCTGTAGAGCTGAATCCACACTATGGATTTCTATATGTGGCAATGACAACCCTGTCATTCTGTCACTGGTTGAATTACAACTTGAATTTTCACCTCCTTTTAAGCTATCTTTTTTCTGTCTCATTCTCTCCAAATCTATCTGCAGTCTTTTTATGTAGTTGATTGCCTCTTCCAGTTGATCTGGCAGTGACAAAACTTCCTGCAAATTAAGCCCATATAATTTTGCAAAACGTGCAACAATGATAATGATATGCTGCAGATGCAGTTCCATATATAAATTAAAAGGAAAACACCAAGGAAAATTTTATCTTTTAACGAGTTTTTGTTTTCAAATAATTATGTGAGTATGATTCTACATTAGATCTGACTATATGATCTCGAACATGTTTCAAATCAGGCGGATTTTGGAAGGAAGACATAATTATGACATGCGTGAAATAGAAGAGAAAAATAAAAAAAATAACTAAAGGAGAAAGAAAAGAACCCTAGAATGCTGCTGATGAGGCACAAGAGAATGGAGCTTCAAGTAGAGAGCTTTCATTTGGTTTCTTCTGTTTTTCTCAGTAGTCTTTCTGTCAGCTTTAGATGATGAGGAACTTGGGTTGTTACACTGTTGCTCCATCTCTTATCTATATAACCTCTCCAACAAACTTGGCAAATAAACAATTGTATTCCTTCTATATTTAGCAGGAGATGTTATTAAAGAGTAGTAAATGAAAGAAAAAGGCAATGACTGCAGAAGAATATAACATCCATATCTGGTGATAGAAAAAGTTTGTGTATGAAGAGATAACATTAGGGCTACCAGCAAAGGATGTGGTGCACTAGATTAGACTGCTCTTCTCTTGACCAGAAATTTCGGATTCGAGCCTAGTGTATGAAAAAATTCTTGGTAGGGAGCGCTTTCCCGGAATGGAGCTCTACGCGACACGAATCTGGATATAGCTAGTCGGGCTCTAATGCAAGTGCCAGACACCGAGTGGGAACCCCAAAAAAATAGATAATATTAGTGCTGTATTTTCCGCTTTTATGTGTCCCCCATATGGGACTATTTTTGGCCACTCCTGCCTGCAGTTACAAAGAACCAAGACTGTTCTAACAATCGCCCCAACTATGAATATGTTCATCATTGTTCTACGTTATTTAATAGTACTAATATTTTAAGTAAATATACTAAGAAATGAAAGAAAATTCCGTTCGCGCGTGTGAAAGCAATTTATATTAATGGTGGGTAATTAAAAACTTCTAAATCAACTGAAAAATAATTAAAACTAGAATCCTAGAAAATTTTGATCTTGTTCACATTCTTGGTGAATTTTGCCCCACAACTTTGTGAGATGCATTGCGTAATTGCTGGTGAAATCAGCATTTGAACGCAACTAAAAAGTTGGAATTATGGGTAACACAAAAAGTTCCACTTGCAGGTATATATCCTAATTAATTAGGTGCACTTTATGAGATCTATATATTGCGTAATCTTGCTGAGATCAGCAGCATTGATGTGTATTATTCTATGGGATCGATTTCTTTAATTTCAAGGGGCACGTGTTGTGAAATAAGAAGAAAAAGAAAAGAAAAAACCTAATTTAGGGATCATTTGAATCCTACACCTATGTGAGTGGGTGTTGAAACAGGTTTACCGTCTTTTATCGAAATAAAATTCACTCGATCAAATCACCTAATGTTAATCTCAAATCACAGTAATTTACCAATTTCGCGTGATAATTTGAAGCGAATATATATTTATTAATTAATTATGATAGGTTATATTAATGTATATGTCATGTATTTATCGGGTTGGTGTAAACACATGGAACAGTAAATAAAAAAAATTCAACTGTAAGCCTTCTATTAGGATTTGCAACATATTATTGCAATCTTATTCTTTTCTTTTCTATAGCATGTTTTACGTTTGCATTAGTTAGTTAATTGTTTTTAAGCGGGAAAAAAAAAAGAAGAACTTGAATCAAATAGCAAGAAACAGAAATAACAACGAAAATAAACATAGAACAGATGTGGAATGACCACCTACTGCAAAAAAAAAAAAAAAAAAAAAAAAAAAAAAAAAAAAAAAAAAAAGCAAGCATCAAATAGTAAGTGCACGTGCAAATTTCGTGAAACCTCCAAACAAAAAAGAAAAACAAAGAAACAAATAAAAGTAAATGTGAATAAAAATGAGACGTCTCCTTAATCATGTGCCAGTGCCTGGGGTGTTTTTTTATTATGTTCACTCATTTTCTACGGACAGGAAGATAAGATGATGACAGTCCAATGTTTGTACTTCTAAAAACATTATTTCTTCCATTCACACGTTAGGTTATACTACATCGATGTTTCATTAATCCTTGAATTTCATGTGTTTGATGAAATACTTGTTGCGTTCACCAAGTGGACCACCCCCATATTATTTCTGGGAGATCTAAAAAAGAAGAAATATTATCATTTTGATTACTCTTCAACACTTTTCTTACATCATATCGGCATCAGTAGCTGAGTCAAAACTCTAATAAGGATATTCATAAAAAAAAATCAGAAGTACATATATGTGACATTCGAAATTCTAACAAGACAATAAAAAAACGTTCCATTTTATGTGATGTTCTTTGAATTAGGCACGACGACATAAAAAATAAAAAAATATTTGTTAACTTGTGGTTTAAAATATGATTGTAATGGAAAAATAAATATTACGCGTGGAATTAATTATGTGGTTGACATGGCGAGACACAAGGGTCATTAGAAAAGTGACAGCTGGAAAAGAGTACTTAAAAAGATGTGAGTCTTAATAGGTACGAGCAGAACGTCTCAGAGACAAGAAGAAACGGTTGCTCGAGTCTCTTTAGTAATTTGAAGAGACACCGGTGGAATGAACCAAGACAAGAAAAAGGACAAATTCATTAGTCTACAATTAATGAGCATGAATGATTACAAATGTTACAGGATCTTCACGAAACAGTTACGATTACCAATTATAATGTTCCATTAATGTCATTAATGCTCATAATGACTTGGTCATAAAGGGAGAAAAGACGTTGTACTTAGAGATGACTATATAAGGAATAGAAATATCATTTGTATGGACACGTTCTCATTATTATTGGAATACAATTATTTACTTTTGCTTTATTGATTACTTTGCTATTTCATATTCTAATTTTCCTTTCTTATTGCAAAAATATTCATTTTCTTGTTTATCAGTAACCCGAGTATTCTAAAAATAGGCTTTGACCGAAATTCCTATTTTTTGGTTAAACAAATTGGTTCCGTTACCGGGAACTGATAATCATTTTACTCTCCAAATCCATTCTTCTGCCAAAAAATCATGTCAAACGTCAATGACAACAACCCACAAAACCAACAAAATCAGCAACAGTTGAATCAGCAAAAGCAACAAGGAGATGGGACACCAATCCCCTCACCACGAAACTCTCCTCGACAATCTCGAGAAGGGACGCCTGACAGATCTGAATCGCATATGAATGACCAGCATGGGGACGATCAAGATATCGATGCAGCATTGAAACAGTTAATTGCAGAACAAGTCGGCAAAGCTCTTCAAGCTTTTGTTAGTGGGTTGCCAATTGTACCACCAACTCTGCCTCCAAACAACACCGCAACCATAGAGAATCCACGCTCAGGACTCGCTAATTCAGGCAGCGGAGGAACTTCCAGAGAATCTCGCGATGGGGAGGGGGGGGGGGTCAGGTATCCCAGTTAATTCTGATTTACAATGTTTAGTACTAACTTTGCAGAAACAGCTCAAGGAGCAGAACGATCGCATAGAATAGATATCTGGTGTTCCACCTATAATCAAAGGAGTGGATATGGACAAATACTCTCAACAACCTTGGAAGCCAAGTGCCGCTCCTTTGCCTATTCCAAAAAAGTTTAAGATGCCCGATTTTTCAAAGTACGATGGGACAACCGATCCCCGAGATCATGTGACTGCATTTACAACTGGCGTAAAGGGCAACGACTTGACCAAGCAAGAGATTGAATCAGTGCTAGTCAAAAAATTCGGTGAAACACTCACGAAGGGAGCACTAACATGGTATTCTCTTTTACCCGAAAATTCCATTGATTCTTTTGCTGAGCTTCCATATTCATTTATAAAAGCACACTCGGGGGCTCAAAAAGGATGGAAGACATCTTCAAAATAAAGCAAGGAGATACGGAATTACTCATGGAATTCGTAGATAGATTCCAACGTGAACGAATGATGTTGCCACGTGTATCCGACAATTGGGCCGCTATGGCATTTGCCAGTAGTTTAAATGAAAAAAGCTCCGAAGCCACGAGGAGACTCAAAGAAAGCTTACGAGAATTCCCTGCAACAACTTGGGATGATGCTTACAACAGGTACAGCACGAAGCCGCGGATAGAAGAAGACACTATCACTTAGTCCCGGAGAGATGAAAAAGTAAGTTCAAGGCGGCCAGAAACTGAAAAAAGGTCCGGTAAGAACAGGTACGAACCTTATATGGGACCAGCAGGAAGGGATTCACATTCAAAACAAGAAAACCCGAGGTATGATTCCAGATCAAGGGACAGAGATTCGGGTTCGTCATCCATGTTCAGAAAGGAGCGAGACACGCGAGATACGCGAGACAACGACAGAAGTTCAAAAGCAAAGATTGGTGGTTACAGTTTCAATGTTAGCACGTCTGAGTTGTTGCTATTTTAAGAAGCATGGGAGATAAAGTGCGGTGGCCAAAAGAAATGAGACCAAACCCAAATAGGAGAAACCCCGATTTCTGGTGCGAGTTTCACATGATCACGGTCACAAAATAGCAGATTGCAGACTGCTACAAGGTGAAGTAGAGCACTTATTAAAACAAGGTTACTTAACCGAATTGTTTAGTGAGAAGGGTAAGCAAGCATATATGAAGAATAGGCAGGAGCCACCAAAACCTCCATCACCAAAAAGAATAATTAATGTCATAAGAGGAGGAGAGGAGGTCCGTAACATATACGGCAGCAAAGAAGGTGTCAAAAATCACAGTTACCCACGGGAAACGAGTTCGCCAAGTTTTGGAAGAAGACAGTATAACATTTGATGATGTAGACGCAGATGGTGTGTTGATCCCACACAATGATGCATTGATAATGTCTTTACTTGTACATGATACTAATGTAAAACGAGTTTTGATTGATCCAGGTAGCTCTGTAAATATCATTCTTCTAAGAGTGGTAAATGAGATGCAAGCTGATGATAAATTGGTACCCAAAGCACGTACCTTGTCTGGTTTTGACAACTCGAGCATTCTTACAAAAGGCGGGATAATACTCACCACATTCGCAGAAGGAGCAGTCAAAGATACAAAATTTCAAGTAATGATATGGACATGGTGTAAAATATAATTCTTGGCAGACCTTGGATTCACGAGATGGATGATGTTCCATCTACCTTACACCAAGTTATCAAGTTCCCTTCGCAATGGGGAATAAGACAAATCCGTGGTGATCAACAGGCTTCCCGAAGCATTAACTCAGTGGCAGATTCAAGCGTAAAAAAAACGATGCAGATAAAAAATAACAATTACAGAATTCAGTTGAGGGTTTAGCAACACAAGCCTCAACTGTAGATGGACAAACAGATTTAGACTCGAGGCCCGATACTATTCAAGAACCAGAAGAGAATGAAAACATCAAAATAACAATTGAGGAACTGGAAGTAGTGGTGTTGTTTGTACATTGTCCAGACAGAAAAGTCTACATCGGAACCAACCTCAGTCCAGAGATGAAAAGTAAATTAATTGAATTTTTAAAAGCTAATGCAGATTGTTTTGCTTGGCCGCATTCAGATATCACAGTTATACCACTGGAGGTGATGACCCATAAGCTGAATGAAGATCCAACGTATCCGCCTGTCAAATAGAAGAAAAGGAAGAAATGTGTCTCAGACCCTCTCAAACGGAGTATGTGATGAGAGAAGTACATGAAGGACATTGTGGAAATCACACAGGAGGAAGATCCCTGGTAAAAACTCAAATTAGAGCAGGGTATTACTTGCCGAAAATGGAAGACGAAGCCGAAACTTTTGTGGCCAAATGTGACAAGTGCCAAAGATATGGTAACAACATGCATCGACCAGTAGAGTTATTACATTCGGTTGTTGAACCGTGGCCTTTTATGAAGTGG